GGGGGGGGGAGGGCGGTGCCCCGCCCCTTCCCGCGGACGCACGACGCTGCCGTTCGGGCGCCGCGTGCGGCATGCTGGGAAGGGCACGTGCCGGGCTGTGGCCGTTAGGAGGTGCGGCCGGGCCGGGCCTGTGGTGGGGGTGGGCGCCTCCGTCCTGCCGGCGCCGTGGCTCCCGGGGCAACGGCCTCTGCTGCGGGCACCCCCCGAGGCATCGCCAGGCTGTGCCTGGCCCCGGCCCGGCGGTTAACTTCGGCACTGCGGCTCTCCGGGCCGCTTGCCCCTAGCCTGCCCCACCAGAGCTGCTCTCCAGGGCCCCTGACCCCAGGCTGGCAGGAGGTGTTAAGTATGGAGGCGACCGGCCCTCTCCCAGGGAAACGGTGATTGCAGAGGATTTGCTTCTGCTCTTCTTGTAAAGTGTTTTTCTGCATGGTCTCCGGAAGGGATGTGGTGCTTCAGCAGCTTGTTTTAGTTGAGTGACTTAATTCTTTCTAGAGGTTGAACCAAAATAACTTCAAAGACCCATTTTAAAGAGCACCTAGTGGGACGCCGTACAGCAGAAGTTTGCTGGTGGTTTGGCTGCAGAAGAGTGCAGAGTCTGTGATGAGACCTGGAGACAAGGGCATACTATTGAAAAAGCTGTCTTGGGCAATTGTGTAATTTTGTAACTGAAGTTAACTGCCCTGAGATACAGCGTTTTATGGTCATGTTGGCCAGTCGTCCTTAAGAATTGGCAGTGCCTGCAGTGCTCTCTGAGGTTTCCAAGTGTATTGCAGAGCACGTAGGTTACAGTAAGCCAGCACAGACAACTCCCATAAGCATGTCTGAAAGGAATGATTAATTCCCTGTGATTCCAAGGCCAAGGGCCAGTTTCCTGGTGCCCTTTGGGATATTCTGTTTCTCCTCTTTATAGATGAAAAAAAGATTATTTTTTACTACAACAATTCCAAAATACTTGCATCACAAGTAAGATCAGTAGACAATATGCATTGGCCCATCTGTGATGCTGCTGTCCTGCTCCAAACGAGAGGAAGCACTGGGGAAATAAAATATTCTCAGTTGAGTTTGCCAGGGAAGCCAGAGTGAGTCACAGCTTTTTTCTGAAGTTACTGTATTGACTAGCATCCTGTCCTAAAGTATTTGAGGAGGGCCTCTGGCAATCCAAACATTCTCTGATCATTAACATAGCAACCTTGTATATGCAGGAGAATCGAGGTTACAGCTTGAATGCCTGAAGTCACAGCTGTTAGGAAAAAGGAGGAAATCACGGCTCAGCAGGCAGAGGAAGGACCGTAACTGCATTCGAAAGCCAAGGGTGATGTATGTTCTGCATCTCAGAGAGCAGCATTCTTTTCTGTTAGGGTAAATTTCAACACCAGATCAAAGCACCTGTGAAATGATCTGGAAGATTTGATTATACCCCATGTGAAGTGGCCAAGCAAGCAAGCAAAGAATACATTGATGAAGGAAATACAGTCTCTTTCTGTTAAGCATTCAGAAACAAATTTTCTGTAGGTGAATGTAAGCAGCAATCCAATTTTGTCTTTAGTAATGCATGAAAGAAATATTAAAACAATGAAGATGCAGCAATATACGCATATCTATATCACCAGGCTTAAGAGAAATAAACATAGATTCAAAATTTCTCATCAGCCAAAGGATCAAAGTATATTTCAAGTACATTACTGTAGAGACAAAGGTCTTTGAAGAAGTATTAGCCTGGCTGTTCCCAGATAGCAGAGGAGCAAGCAAGCTGGTATGATTTAAAGTAGATGTTGGGTAAATGTAACATTTGGGAGCTGGCTGAAAATGAGTCTGAAAATCACTCAGCTACAATCAAGTTTCTGATAGGCCTCTTTTCATGTAGCTGAAAAGCTGTGACATCAGCCCTCAAGAGCTATTACATTTTGTCAAAATTGTGCCCTTACAGAAAAACCTGGTAGGAAATTGCAATTCTTCAAAATCCCATTATCGAGGAATGCAGAGTAGCCTTCACAGGAACTTCTGTACTGGGGGACATGCATAACTTGTCAGTATAAAAGGTAGGCATTTCAGATCTTGGTGGTTTGTTCTTAAGGGTGGTTAAACGAAATACATCACTGATTTCTACCCAATAAACAGGCAAAAAAATTAAAATTACATTTTTGGCCTAAATTACCTTCTGAGCAGGGCTTGTGGTGAGGTGTACTTCTTCATCACTAAGCAGAAGTGGGTTAGGTAGTACCCAATTAGCCTGACCTGGGGTTGCTTCCCACTCTTTAAAAAAGTGCCAAGTTCATGGCGACTCAAAGAACTACTGGGGAGTGTCTCTGAAAAAAACCCTGATCTGTCTGGAGAGAAGGGAACTGCTGCCACACTGCTGCCAAGGACATGGCACTTCAGCTTGTGAGGATCTCATGACTATCATGGAAACCGCACACGAGAGGCCTAGTTAAACTTACCAACAGAGTGGTTGAAAGTAGCAGTTACTCAGCCGACAAGCTGGATTATTACATTTTATAGAGCCAAAGCTTTTTGAGAGCCACAAGCGTCCTGTCGCTAGTAAGCTGAAATGTAAGGTTAGGAATTCAATTGATGTCCTATTTTTTTGGTAAGAACTGGGTTAAGTGCCAGAACTTTTAAGGCAGGGAGTACTTTGAGTCATTGCTATCCCTGGACAGTCTCCAAGCAGTGATATTTAATAAGATCTTGAATTAATAAGCCAGAGTAGTTTTGCAAACTTCCAGGAGTTACTCTGTGATTTTTCGGCCTTGCAGTATCACTTCCCTGAGCCTGTATCTGCTGGTTCTCAGACATGATCTCAGTTCATGTTGGCATTGGGAGAAAAGGGAAACTGCAGAATCCAAATTCAGCACAAAAGGTAACCAGCCTAGGCTGAAGCATGCATAGTAAATGCGTAATGGAATTAAACCCTATGGAACTGCAGTATGTCCTTACTTGTACACGTGTGTGGTGGATTAGCAATTGCTGGATGTAAAAGGTTGGATCCTTTGTGGAATGAATAACCTGAACCACTGCAAAGTGATCTCACCCAATGCTCCCTAAATTGTCTTTTACATGCTGATGTTGTGAACAAGAACAGAGGTTTTGCTTAAAGTGTTTGTTCAAACATTCCAGCATCTTGTGTGTTACTCCTACAGCATGCTGCAGGCTGAACTGAAATTATATCCTTCTGGATCCAAATCTTTGAATGCCATGGATAAACTAGCTCTAGTACAAAGTGTTTTTGAGAAAACCAGGTCTCATCTGGGAAGCCCGATTAAAAGTTTGGTCTGTTCCCAACAACTGCTGTTGCAAGATTATTTCTGTCCAAAAGCTACTGAATTCTCAGTTAACCTACTCCTTACAGTAGTTAAGATGAAGGGAGGAGGATATTAAATAGCATCCTTCAAAGTACTGCAGCATCAGGAGTATTTTTAGGTGTTCTGAAATTGCTATTAAGTATTGTGCTTAACACAGCTATGCTGGATAAGCATTTTTTAATATGTTTCTGTTAATAGTATTATTAAAATTTTAATGTAGGCAAGCCAAATAGCAATGTCTGTTTGTTGTTAGTGGAAGTCTTCTTTCTGGCAAAAGTTTTCAGAGTGTTTTTGAGAGTATGTCTGTGTGAAGTGAGACAAGAAGCTGGCTGCATGAAAACACTGTTGACTTTGTGAGGTCTTAGTAGCATGAAACATCCACCCAAAAGCATACTTTCTAGTAATAGTTGCGTCTGCACTTGAAATAGTGGAAGTGCCTACCCATAACAGCTTTGATATAAAAGATTTAGGTCAGTTTCCAAGGACAAGGAATTGCATTCTGCAGCAGAATCAGCATAGCTGCAGTGTGTGTGATAGCCCATCCGTTTTATAGCGGAAAACTGTATACTTTGGATATTTATGCTGGCTCTAAACTGAAGAATTTTCTGCAACTAAATATTATTGCAGTTGTAGAACATGTGGAGTGTTGCTGTGTGGTAAGCTTTACAAATGTGTGATAAACTAAACATGTAATGTAATCTCTCACTTACTGCTGAGAGGACCTAGTAGTTTAAGTATAAATCAATCTTTCTTTGAAAGGAATCATTCATAAAAGCTGATCTTCTCCCTTTTAGCCAAACAACTACACTGGCAAACTTAGTTTATCTGTTTAAGTGAAAGGAAGAATTAACTTAATAGAGTAAAAATACTCAAGAATTCTTCTTCAAAAGCTCAGATGATACAAAACCCTAAGTTTCCAACTAAGCCTTGCCATTGAAGTAGGAAAATTCTAAGTTTAACTTACAAGAATTTTACTAAATTGCATGAAAGTTATCAGTAGTCTCTGTGGTAGATAAAAAACAGTTTGCAAAAAGAGAGACAATTGGAGCAGTCCTGTCTTGCAGGCTGGATGAGTTGGGAGTGATAGTGCTTGCAGCTCTCTTTAGTGGTTGACAAAGCAATTCGTCAACTTGTTTGTTTACAGAAACCATATTCTTCCATGCTCCACCCAAGTGCATGGGGAAAGGGAAAATGAGCCTGATGACAGAACGAGCAATTTGTAGCTTTGAGAAATACAAAGTTTTTTTAAAAGTACTTGATCTTTTCTTAAGTGCAAAAATGCATGAAAGAATTCTAGTGTTAAAAAAATACTTTTTGTCATGCTTAATATATCATAATTAAATAAAGATAATTTTATAAAACAGTTCCCCAAAAATCATATTTTCTTTGAGGACAAGAGTGAAAAACTTGTCCTAATGTCTTAAAAAGTCATAATATTTTGAGGTTCCTCAAAATACTGATTTATAAAGAAAAAACCTACTTGGCTCTGAATGAAATGTACTGAGCTGTACAGCGATATCAAGACTGTAGTGGAGTGTTGGAAGCTATTATTCAAGGAAAGAGGAAGCAATAAGTTTAGCCACATCCACAATTCAACTCAATCAAGAACATTTGTAACTAGGCAGGGAAGCCACAAACCACAGAATAAGCATTGCGTTATAACAGATGAAATACCTACATGAATCTTAAAAAAGGAAATTATGGTTCCTGTGTTAGTGAATACAGTCTGCCTTATGCTTAATCAGTGGGACAAGAAAACAGTTTAGATGTTTTT